CAAACATCATGCTGAAGCTGACCTCCTGCCCTTTTCTCCCCCGCCTACCTCAGGGGATTCTGCTTTTTCAACTCCGTAGCCATCACAGCGAAACTCCTACAACAGAAGTTGAACGTGGGCAAGGTCCTCATCGTGGACTGGGTAGGCAGTGAGCTGGTGGGGCTGGGCAGGGGTGGGCAGAGCTGGGACCAGGGTCGGCCTTCAGGAAGTCCCCCCCCCCAGTAGGAAGTCCCCTCCCCCAGTCCCACTTCCAAGCAGCCCAGTCATCCTCGTCCTCAGGTGCCCAGTGCAGAAGGAAGGGTGCTGGGGCTCCTGCTGGATGACTAACCTCACATTCCAGCAGGGCTCCCTCCTCTTTATGAAAGACATTTAGCTCCTGTTCCATCTTGGCCCTCACATTGCAGCTTCAAGCAAGGAAGTCCTGGGATTTCCTACCTTGGACAGTAGTGATGCTGCTGCCATTGCTAGTAGCCAATTTTTTCTCCCACCCCCTATGATGCGGGGGCGGGGGCGGGCACGGACTGTATACCAGGAACCCAATGAGTACTTTATGGCCACCTCGAGTAGTAAGAACAGGGATGTCCATTTCTGCAAATGAAGGTGTCAGTTGTGTGTGACTCACGCAAGGCCACTCTGCTGGGGATATTGGCACTGGGTTTCAGACCAGGCCTTTTAGCCCCAGCACTCTGCTCGTGCTACCATGGGTGCTTCTCAGACCCTGCTCTAAATGGTGGAGGCGAGGCACATGCCACTCTGTGAGCTGGGGAAGTAGCCAGGAGCGAGCCTCGGAAAGGATGAAATCTCTTGGAAGCCCAATTCTGGCTTAAAAATTTATGTAAATGTTGTATCCTTCTTCAGAATCTTATGTGTTTGTGGCTGGGCACAGTGGCTCAAAGCCTGTAATCCCAGCACTTTGGGAGGCCAAGGTGGGTGAATCACTTGAGGTCAGGAGTTTGAGACCAGCCTGGTCAACATGGTGAAACCCCATCTCCACTGGAAATACAAAAAATTAGCCAGATGTGGTGTTGGGAGCCTGTAATCCTAGCTACTCAGCAGGCTGAGGCAGGAGAATCACTTGAACCCGGGAGGCAGAGGTTGCAGTGAGCCGAGATGATGCTACTGCACTCCAGTCTCGATGACAGAGTGAGACTCTATCTCAAAAAAAAGAAAAAAAAAGGCCCGGCACAGTGACTCATGCCTGTAATCCCAGCACTTTGGGAGGCCAAGGCAGGTGGATCACCTTAGGTCAGGAGATTGAGACCAGCCTGGCCAACATGGTGAAACCCCATCTCCACTAAAAATACAAAAAAAAATTAGCCAGGTGTGATGGCGCATGCCTGTAATCCCAGCTACTCGGGAGGCTGAGGCAGGAGAATTGCTTGAACGCGGGAGGTGGAGATTGCAGTGAGCCAGGTCGTGCCACTGCACTCCAGCCTGGCAACAAGAGTGAAACTCCGTCTCAAACAAAAAGAAAAAGAATGTGATCTGCTTCTTTTAAATTCCCTACTAGCCTTAATGTTTTCCCCCAAACGGTGAAGCGGAATGGGTTCTGTAGGGAGATCTGCCACATTTGTCCCATGGCTTTGAGTATCCCCTACACAGTGCCACACCACAGAGGCTCAGACCCTAGTTAGAGAAGCCTGGGGTGGGCAATGCCATTGTGAACAGAATGCAGATGCCCTGTGGCAAGGGTGGGTATACCCCCAAAGCCTACCATGCAGTGGGGTGGGGCCAGTGGAGTTTTTTTGGTTTGGGGGTTGGGGTTTTGCTGTGTTGTCCAGGTGAGTCTTGAACTCCTAGGCTCAACAATCCCCCCAGCCCTCAGCCTCCCAAAATGCTGGAAGCACAGGCGTGAATGACAGCGCCCAGCTGACAGGTGGAATTGTGACCATTGCGTCAGACCGTGGGCCATTTTCCTGATGCTTCCACCTCCCCTCCTAGGACATTCACCATGGCAATGGCACCCAGCAGGCATTCTACAACGACCCCTCTGTGCTCTACATCTCTCTGCATCGCTATGACAACGGGAACTTCTTTCCAGGCTCTGGGGCTCCTGAAGAGGTATAGCTCCTGGGCGTAAATGCAGAATCTGTTGGCCCCTCTGGGAGGTGGCACAGTGGGACCTGGTGGGGAGCCACAGAGGCCAGTGGTGCTGGTACCTGGGGAGTCTGGGCTCCAAGAGGGAGGACCACACTGATCTGACTGCTCCTCCAGGCAGAGCAGAGGTCAGTGGAGTGAGACCTGGAGGCAGGGGTGAGGGCAGGGGCGAGGGCAGGGGCAATGTTTGGGATCCCCAGGCAGTGAGAATAGCCCTCTCCTCAACTCTGGTTCCAGGTTGGTGGAGGGCCAGGCGTGGGGTACAATGTGAATGTGGCATGGACAGGAGGTGTGGACCCCCCCATTGGAGATGTGGAATACCTTACAGCCTTCAGGTAGGGACTGAAAAGGGCCACGGGAGTCACAGGGAGCCCCCCTGGGCCCTGCAGTGGGAGGGGACAGAAGGCACTCAGTTCAGTGTGGGTAAGGGGGTTGTCTCTGGCATGATAAGTGGGACGAGGCCTGGCCTGGCCATCTGCCAGGCTCAGCTTGGGCTATCCCTTTGCAGGACAGTAGTGATGCCCATTGCCCATGAGTTCTCACCTGACGTGGTCCTAGTCTCTGCCGGGTTTGATGCTGTTGAAGGACATCTGTCTCCACTGGGTGGCTACTCTGTCACCGCCAGATGTAAGCATGCTGGGGGATAGAGGGAGGAAGTAGAATAGTGAGGATATAGTCCAATGGTGTGTGGGGCAAGAACAGACTGATACCGCAGCGGATGGGGAAAGCAGGGACAGGGCCTAGACTTGGAATCACCTTGATGACTCCCCCAACTCATCCTCTGCCAACCTTGGCCTTGAGGGGCCGGCAGGTGGAAGTGGGGTAGCAGAGGGTAGAGCATTCGTATTGCAGGAGCTGTAGCAATGGAGCTTGTGGTCCCTGGTGTTGCAGTGATGCTCCTTGAAAGCACCTGGTCATTGGAGTCTTTAGCCAGTCTGTTAATGTTTTGACTGTGATAGGGCATTTAGCCCATTGACATTGTATTTTATTTTATTATTATTATTATTTTTTGAGATGGAGTCTCGCTGTTGCCCAGGCTGGAGTGCAGTGGCGTGATCTCGGCTCACTGCAACCTCTGCCTCCTGGGTTCAAGCAATTCCCCTGCCTCAGCCTCCTGAGTAGCTGGGACCACAGGCACACGCCACCACGCCTGGCTAATTTTTTGTATTTTAGTAAAGACAAAAAATGTTGGTCAGGATGGTCTCAATCTCCTGTGATCCATCTGCCTCGGCCTCCCAAAGTGCTGGGATTACAGGTGTGAGCCACCATGCCCGGCCACCATTGTATTTTATTATGGGTCTATTAGAGTTTACATCTGCCATCATATTTTGTGCTATTTGTCCCACCTCTTGTCTTTTTCTTTTTGTTTGAGATGGAGTCTCGCTCTGTCGCCCAGGTTGGAGTGCAGTGGCACGATCTTGACTCACTGCAAGCTCTACCTCCCGGGTTCAAGCGATTCTTCTGCCTCAGCCTCTGGAATAGCTGAGACTTACAGGTGTGTGCCACCACAGCTGGCTAATTTTTAAATTTTTTTTAGTAGAAATGGGATTTCACCATATTGGCCAGGCTGGTCTCGAACTCCTGACCTCAAGTGATTCACCCACCTTGGCCTCCCAAAGTGCTGGGATTACAGGCATGAGCCACCACGCCTCTCCTGTTTCTTTTTCTCTCCTTTTCTTACTCTTGAATTGAATACCTTTTACCATTTCATCCTCCTCCCTTCACCCATCCCCAAAGGTTTTGGCCACTTGACCAGGCAGCTGATGACCCTGGCAGAGGGCCGGGTGGTGCTGGCCCTGGAGGGAGGCCACGACTTGACCGCCATCTGTGATGCCTCTGAGGCTTGTGTCTCGGCTCTGCTCAGTGTAGAGGTGAGGGGTGGGGGCTGGGAGGTGGCAGGCCAGGGGGCTGAGGGGCCAGCCAGCACTGGGAGGCCCTTAGGAAGCTTTTCCTTGGTCCTAAGGAATAGCTAATGGCCAGGGAAGGCTTTCTGAGTATGGGTTTGTCCAAAAAGACCATGTTTGCCCCTGTCATGAGGGATATCTGGGGCCAAGTGGGGCAGTTAGAGGGGTACGTATTGCAACCCTACTCCCCACCCTAAGCCTTCTCTTCTTTCTCCTGCCAGCTGCAGCCCTTGGACGAGGCAGTCTTGCAGCAAAAGCCCAACATCAATGCAGTGGCCACACTAGAGAAAGTCATCGAGATCCAGAGTGCGTGGGGATTCATGGAGGGGCTCGGGCGGCCAAGGGGAGCGGAGCTTGTGGGAACACCAGGACTGGAGAAGTTCATGTGGGTGTCGTCTGCCCTCCCTCACCCCTTGCCCGTCTGTCATCCACAGGCAAACACTGGAGCTGTGTGCAGAAGTTCGCCGCTGGTCTGGGCCGTTCCCTGCGGGAAGCCCAGGCAGGTGAGACCGAGGAGGCTGAGACTGTGAGCGCCATGGCCTTGCTGTCGGTGGGGGCTGAGCAGGTCCAGGCTGCGGCAGCCCGGGAGCACAGCCCCAGGTAAGCAGCACCCCTGCCGCCTCTTTGCCCTTGCCCCTGCTGGTGTGCCCAACTCAACACCCTCCCCTGTGTTTGTCCCCAACAGGCCGGCAGAGGAGCCCATGGAGCAGGAGCCTGCCCTGTGACACCCTGGCCCCCGTCCCACTGGGCTTTACCATTGTGATTTTGTTTATTTTTTCTATTAAAAACAAAAAGTCACACATTCAACAAGGTGTGCCGTGTGGGTCTCTCAGCCTTGCCCCTCCTGCTCCTCCACGCTGCCTCAGGCCCCCAGCCCTGTGGCCTCCACCTCAGCTCTAGAAGCCTGCTCCCTTTGCAGGGGGTGGGGGGTGTCTTCCCAGCCCTGACCCAGGTGTCCCTCCACCCATTTCCCTGCATTCTGTCCTTTTCCCCCTTGGAGCCTGGGCCAGCTCAAGGTGGACACGGGACCCAGACAGTACCCTCCAGTTCTGGAGCCCCCCCTGAGTGAGGAGGGAACAGGAAGTCGGTGCCTTGGTTTCAGCTGACTTGGGGGGGGGGAAATGCCTTAATTTCACCCTCCTCCCTTCTCCAGCCTCAGGGGGCGGATCTGGAGGGTCCACTACTAAGATGCAGAGTGGAAGGGAGGTGGGCACCCACCCTGCGATTCTCCACCTTTTCCCCTTCTTTCATCCTGTCCATCTCTGCACAGACACCTTTCTTCCTCCTCCTTGGTCTCAGCACTGATGGGAGGCTGGTGCCAAGCCATGGCTGTGGTCTGTGAGCAGGGCTGTCTTGCCTCATACTCTTCTGGGCCTGCTTCCCCTTCCCCGGGCCGAGAAGATGAAAAGTGTGTGGGGGAAGGAGACGACTGGTTTCCTGGGTTCTCAGGGGCCAGGAGGAGCTGCAGAACCAGGCCTCCTCCCCACCTTACTTGGATGGCCTCCCTGTCCCTCTGCTGGCACAGCCTGGGCAGGGGGAGAAGGTGGTCCCTGCAGGGGGGCTTCAGGCTGGTGAGAGCCCCCCTGCTGTCAGGACTAGCTCTCCCTAGCCATCCAGCATGCTGCAGGGAGAAGGGGCAGGGGCTCACTCCCTCCTGGGGCCTTTTGCTTTGGAGCCTAGGGATGGTGAGAGTGGGGATTCTAGAAGGGGTAAGGTCAGAACCCAGGGATCCAGGAGTTCGTCCTCCGCTGGACCTTCCATACCTCTTGGGCTCCCTTTGCTGGCCCCAAGCCCAAGGGAGCTAAGACCAGGAGGGGGCTGGGTGCTGCCCCTTCTCTTTCCCAGGAGCCCTGCGAGGGGCTGTGGGCCCACAAGGCTTCCAGGGAATGTTGTCCAGCCTGTAGGAAACCAAAGATGGGAAGTGGCTCCTAGGGGGCTGACTCTTCCTCCCTCTTCCTCCCCAGTAGCACATATACTTTCTCTCCTCCCATCCCCAGGGCCCCACCAATCTGTTTACATATTTATTATCCTATTAGGGGCCTGAGCAGGGTTGAAGGAGCCAGGGGAGGAGCAGGAGCCCCAGCACCATCGATTTATTGGTTCGTTGTTCGCTATGTGTTGTATGTTTTAGATCCTCCTGGGGGATGGGGATGGGGCTAGGCCCAGTGTACCAGGCCTCTCTACTGAGCCCCAGGCTCCAGGCCCCTTGCCCACCCTCTCCCTGTGGCTGGTCCGGTTCTCATGTAAACCCACTCCTTGCTTTGTCTCCCTGGATATGGATTTCAGTTAAGGATTTTGTAACCCGTTACACTGTGTCCTTGTGTAAATAAACTTGTTTCTGGCAGTGCCTTCTGGGGCCAATGTCTCTATTCTCTGGGCTCCCAAATGGAGTAGTTCATCCTCCTTCCTAGCCAAAAACACTACTCTTTGCTCCAGCCCCTGGGCTAGAAGCCAATTTAGGAAACTGGAGGCTGGCGCGCAAGATCTGTCCTGTAGGTGAAAGTCAGGGTTACACTGGATATAGTCAGAGCATCTCATGGGACCTCTCATGTGGCCTAGGCAGTGATGAGGCAGGGTATCTGGGGGCCAAGAGGTCTCACCTGAGTTTACAGCCCTCTCCTTTCCTGCCTCTCTGCCCCTGGAAACAAGGCTGGAGGTGGCACAGAGACCACTGGAGCAGCCTGGCAAGGGTTCCGCTTATGCACACAGAGGCAAGGCCTATGGAGAGGTGGGCACAGGCAAGAAAGGAAACTCAAAGTATTTGAGGGCTTTATTGGGGCTGCCCCAGCTGCCCCTCACAGTGTTGCAGGAACCCGCTGGTCTTGCTGTTGCCTTTGCTCTTTGGGGGCTTGAGAGGAAAGGAAGAGGGAGGACCAGCTTCTCTGGGAGACAGAAGGACCATCTTTGGGGCTAAGACCAGGTGATAGGGAAGCAGATTTAGAGGAGGGCCTGCTTGGGGGCTGGAAGGGCATGGGGCTGCCTCCTGGAGTGTGGTGGTCACAGAGTGTTGGTTTTGTGGGAGAAAAAGGAAAGAAGGAGACACACAAGAAGTCAGGAAGAGTGGATGGGTGCTGCTTCCTGGGCACTGAACATGTGCACTACCCAGGGCACAAGGGCCAGGACTAGGCATGGCCAGAGGGTGTATTTGAGGAAATTGAAGATGTAGAAGAGGCTGATCTGAGGGGGGTGGCCCAGCCAGTCCAGGGGGCCCAGCAGCCCCATGGCCAGCACAAGGCAGGCTATCTTCTGGCCATTTCCTAGCGGTGCCCGACGCACCTGTGCATAGCAGGGAGAGTGCAGGGCAATGCCCAGGCCCAGGGCAGCCCCTGAGTCACGGCTCAGGGAGGCAAAAGGCCGGCTATCCATGTGTATCCACTCAGGCCGCTCACACCACTTGAAGGCTAGGCTGATGGACCTGTGGGGAAGAAGAGTCCTTGCCAGGAGAGACTGGAACGTAGAAGGCCACTGGCTCTTGGCCATCTGCCCCTGGGGCCCACTCCTATGTTCTGCTTTGTGCCTGTGAGGGTCTATGTGAATAGGTAATGTATCCTTTTTTAGCTATAATGAACCAGAGACCCACCAGGCTAGGTGCAGGCAAGATAGGACAGGGTCCAGCCCGTCCAGGCTTCAAAGTGAGACTTACCAAGAAAGATCCAGGCCCAGCGTAAAGAGGGTCCAATAGATGAGGCTGGTCCCTAGCATGAGGGCCAGTGCAGTCAACCCATAGAAGCTCAGCTCCCGCTCCACAGGCACCCGGGGAGTCATCAGCCAGCCCAGGACAGCGCCTAGGAGAGTGGAGTGACAGCAGCTTCAAGGAGTTTAGGGATATGACCCTCCCCGCCCCCACCCCCAGCTGCAGTGCAGCTTGGCAAGAGAACAAACTAAGACATAAGGGAAGCCTCTGGGGTGGGCTCTACAGAAGTTGGGAAGATCCTAGACTGATCCTCCCACTGCCAAAGGCATCCTCTCAGCCCACCCCATTGCCCCAGTTGCTCACCAGTTATTAAGCCAGCCAGCACCTGGTGAGGAAAATGTGCTAAGATGAAGACCCGCGATAGGCCAACTGCCAAAAGGAACGTGCAATAAGCCAGGCTAGGCATCACCCTCACCCAGCGGCTAGAAAGAAGAGAGGCAAGGAGCTCAGAGTGTGTCCATACACAGCTCGGCCTCCTGTAGCACCCAGGTACCCCATGGCTTGACCACACACCCCAGGGACCCCAGAACTCCAGCTCCCAGGCTGCCATGCTGCTAAGTCTTTTAGGTACATGGTGCCATCAGCCCTGTTCCCAATGGTGGGCAATACCAAGGGTATACCTGCGGGTCCGAGTGGCCAACTGTGAAGAGAGGGCTGTCATTATGGGCCAGAGGGCTGCTCCTGTGATCATGCAGTGTCCAGAAGGGCTGCCTGCCAGCGAATCCAGAAGCTTGTGGTGAGAAGATGGAGGCAGAACCCAGGGCCTCTGGTGATGCCCCAATAATACAGCTGCCTCTCTTGGCTGAGAAGAGAGCTTTTCCCCGGCACTGATCCATAGCTCGCTCTGCTCTGAGGCCTTTTTACTGCCACCTGAGGTCATTGCGCTCAGGCTTCTATCCTGACCTGTGTCTCTTGGCTGTACTATCCAAGGTGGGCAGCTGGTACATAGCATGAGTGCCCTCCTCCCGTAACTCAGCTTGGTCTCTCTGGGGCTCCTTTGTTCTCTGGGCCAGTAATTGGGAGGCTAGACCTATGGTTGGGCCACCCAGGCTAAAAAGTACTCTGAAATGTTCACCTGAATCCTAACCACATTGAGAAAGGGGAGGATGTTTGAGGCTTCCCACCTGGACCAGTCTCACAAGAAGAGGGGAACTGGTGAACCTGGACTGGAGCCTGGCTGTAGTACCCAGACTCATGGACCCACCAAAAGGGCCTGTCTCCAAACAGAAACCTGGAAGAGAACAGATGCAAGATGACTTTCTACATGCACACACAGCCAGGGAGATGCAAGAGGAGCAGGACACGGAGTACTCCAGAGGGCCTGAGGGGTAAAGTCAAAAAGGGGCTCCAGTTCTGTTCATTGCTCTCAAGGTATCCATGGATACCTTGCCATGGTTTTCTACCTTAGAACAGGAGGAAGAAAGCACACTATTTGTTTTCTTTTTTCCCTTAACCCTTAAAGCCTGTGGAAATATTTTTAAAAACTAGCCTGGGGCCAGGTACAGTGGCTCCTGACTGTAATCCCAGTACTTTGGGAGGCCTTGGCTGGAGGATCATTTGATGCCAGGAGTTCAAGACCATCCTGGGCAACATAGCAAGACCCAGATTCAACAAAAATAAAAAAAATTAGCCAGGCACGGTGGCTCAAGCCTGTAATCCCAGCACTTTGGGAGGCCGAGGCGGGTGGATCACGAGGTCAAGAGATCGAGACCATCCTGGTCAACATGGTGAAACCCCGTCTCTACTAAAAATACAAAAAATTAGCTGGGCATGGTGGCACGTGCCTGTAATCCCAGCTACTCAGGAGGCTGAGGCAGGAGAATTGCCTGAACCCAGGAGGCGGAGGTTGTGGTGAGCCGAGATAGTGCCATTGCACTCCAACCTGGGTAACAAGAGCGAGACTCCATCTCAAAAAAAAAAAAAAAAAAAAATTAGCTGGAAGTAGTGGTGCACACCTTTAGTCTCAGCTACTTGGGAGGCTGGGCAAGCAGATCGCTTGAGCCCAGGAGTTCGAGACCAGCCTGGGCAACATGACAGAACCCCATTTCTACAAAAACTACAAAAATTAGCCAGGCATCTTGGGATGCACCTGTAGACCCTGCTACTTCAGAGGCTAAAGTGGGAAGGATCACTTGAACCCAGAAGGTTGAGGCTGCAGTGGGCTGTGATCGTGCCATTGTACTCTAGCCTGGTGATGGAGCAGAAAACAAACAAAAAAAGTGAATAAAATAAAAAATAAAACTGATACAGAGGCAAGAGATTGTGGCAAGCATGTGTATGCGCTCTGCGATACTCAGCCATCCCACTCTATCCCCTTTCACTGAAGAGCCAGCTCTTATCATCCATAGAGAGCCCAGGACCCAGCTCTCTCTCCCTCACTAACCCTCCTACTACCCCTGCCTCCATGTCCCCAGTTACAGCCTGAATTATCCACATCTAAATTATTTATGTGAGCCTCTCATGTCTGAAAAAAGGGAGTGAGAAATGGACACAGGAGATTAAGAAAGAATAAGGAGGACAAAAAAACTTCAAAATCCTCTGGTCTAGCAAGTGCTTGGCTGAGCCCTGGGAAGCCACACACTGAAGAGGCTGCTGTGGCCAGGAAGTGAAAAGATGGGATAGCAAATGAGATGCTGGCAGGAATCGGCATGCTGGGAAGGAAGATACAGAACGCACCTGCCTCTCGCCTCTGAAAACTGAGCCTAGTATACATCAAGTGCTCACTTAGAAAATGAATGGGGGTGCCAGGCGTGGTGGCTCATGCCTATAATCTCAGCACTTTAGGAGGCTGAGCAGGCGGATCACTTGATATCAGGAGTTTGAGACCAGCCTGGCCAACATGGTGAACCCCCCACCACACACACACTAAAAATACAAAAATTAGCCAGGCGGGCGGTGGGCGCCTATAATCCCAGCTACTCGGGAGGATGAGGCAGGAGAATCACTTGAACCTGGGAGACAGAGGTTGCAGTAAGCCAAGATTGTGCCATTGCACTCTAATCTGGGCAAGAGAGAGAGACTCCATCTCAAAAAAAAAAAAAAAAAAAAATGCCAGGCACGGTGGCTCACACCCATAATCCCAGCACTTTGAGAGGCCGAGGTGGGCGAATTACCTGAGATCAGGAGTTTGAGACCAGCATGGCTAACATGGAAAAACTCCGTCTCTACTAAAAATACAAAAATTAGCCGGGTGTGGTGACATGTACCTGTAATCCCAGCTACTTGGGAGGCTGAGGCAGAAGAATTGCTTGAATCTGGGAGGCAGAGATTGCAGTAAGCCAAGATCTCGCCATGGCACTCAAGGCTGAGCAACAAGAGCAAAACTCCCGTCATTAAAAAAAAAAAAAAGGAAGAAAGAAAAGAAAATGAATAGGGGCTTTGCCACTTGGGGGACATAAATAATGTCTGGGGGAGGCCAGGTGCAGTGGCTCACGCCTGTCATCCCAGCACTTTGGGAGGCCGAGGTGGGTGGATCACGAGGTCAAGAGATTGAGACCATCCTGGCCAACATGGTGAAACCCTGTCTCTGCTAACAATATTTCTGTGGAAATATTTTTAAAAACTAGCCAGGCACGGTGGCACATGCCTGTGGTCCCAGCTACTTGGGAGGCTGAGGTGGAAGAATCGCTTGAACCCAGAAGGTGGAGGTTGCAGT